GCTCTGCAATCAATTTTTTAACTTCCAGTCAATTTTTAACATTTTGTGAAAGCTAAATCTCAGAAGTTGGATTCATTTTCTTTAATCTATATAATTGAGATGACAATTTTGATGAGTTTCTTTCATTCCCCAATAACCCAATGAGTTGATGTAATCAGGCAAAATGAATGATCTAATGACTCACTCAGTCATGATATAATGACTGTAATACTACTTTACAAAGCTTATAATGATTCTAAAGCTAAGTCTGCTGAAGAAATAAAAATACCACCTGCCAGATAAAATGATTTATACATTCTTTGGCATGTGCAGTATAAATCATTGTCTAACTGGCATAACACCCACTTTTGCATCCTACGTTTTTAACCCTTTTTTGCCCCCTCCACATAGAGAAAAAGAATTTACACTGCTCTTCACTAGATTTGTTTTTTGTCCTCAAAAAGTCCCAAATACGGCATCAATCTCTTTCCTCAGATCTCAGGAATAAAGGCTTCCTCCAGTCATCTCTTCCCCCAAACATAGACAAATAACTTCTATATGTTCTCTGTAATGAATTTACCCTTATGAAGAGAGAAATCATGGAAGACTTATACCAACGGTTTCTTTCTCCATCAATGATCAGGTACATTCCTGATTATACGCCCTCCCTCTATTTGTTGGTCCATTTCTAAGTCTCTACCAGTGGCTTTCAGGAGTACCTGGCTTGGGCTGTGTTTGATTCACAAGGGTCCTGATGGCAGGTCATGTTCCATCATTTTTTTCCATCCAATCTTAAAAAAGAGAAAAAGGATTCTCTCAATCTGTGGCTTACAGTACAAACGTTGAAATTATTTTTAAATATATATATATACATATATATTTATAAACATAAAGACAAACACAAAGATTTAATTTCATGTCAGTCTTCAGGCTTCAGTTTCATTCCAAGCAACTTCTTTCCCATATATTTCTAAATGTTAAATTCTGGGAAAATTAGTTACAACTGAATATTCATTGAATTCATTAAAGTGTATGTATGTGGATTTTTTTAAGAAGCCAATTCTTATCTGGCCTAAAAGGAATCTATTTAAATTAAAAATTCAATCAGTAAATTCAACAAATATCTATTGAACACCTACTGCTCAACAGTCCCTGGATACTTAGGGACAAATAAGGAACAGTTTCCACCTTCAAGAAGTTTATAAGCTGATAGGAGAGAACTAGCCAGAACTACATATAATTTAAATCAGATTGGGATAAGTATCACAATATTAAAAAAAAAAAAAAAGCCATGAAAACATAGGTTGTACTTGGGAATCATGGAAGATTTCAAAAACTTCCCTTGACAAAAAGATAATGCTTCAACTGGAACGGAATTGGGAGTGGAGAGTAGTAACAGAATCCTGGGGAAGAGAGTCAAGTGGGGTGCAGTATAGATGTAGTCTCAGATGAGTGAGGGCATATTGGGAGAGAAGGCTGAAGTCTGATGAAGATAATAATACTAGCTAATATTTATTGAGCGTTTACTATGTGCCAAGTACTATTTAAAGCACTTTACATATATTAACTTACTTGATCCTCACAACTACCCTATGAGGAATGTACTGTTATTATTCCCATTTTATAGATGGCAAAACTGAGGTATAGAACAGTTAAGTAGTCTGCTCATGGCTACATAGACACAGATAACAGTTATGGAGCCAGGATCTTGAAATCCATAAATAATAAAAGAAGAACAAATTCTATCTCACCCCTAACTACATTCATTATAAGAGCAATTAACAGGTATCTTAACTACCCCTTCTCCCATTAATTCCTAAGCCATCCTTCAAGGCCCAGCTCAAATGTTTCCTTCCTACAAAACCTTTCTTGATCCCCCAGCTGAACAATATATATTTCTCCTCTAAGCTTCGTAGCACTTATCTGGATCAATCTTACAGCAAACAGCTTATGAACAAAATCTTAATATTTCATTCCTAGCGTTACAGATTTTATGTGCATCATTCCCTCTTTTAAGTTCTCCTTTATACTTTGTATTCTCCACCACTCCTAGGGCAGTGCCTGGCACGTAATGGTAGCTATATCTACGGAGCACTTATTCTTGGCAAGGCATTGTGATGAGTATTTTACAGTAATTCTCTCACAAAATCCTTACAGCAACCCTATTCATGCATTCAATCGCTATTTTCAGTCCCTTCTGTGGCAAATAAAATACTAGATGACTCTTAAACTCAGTAAACAAGGCAGATATGGTCCATGTCCTCAAGAAGCTCACAGTCTATGAAGATTGGTACTATTGGTATCCTCTAGAATAGAGATGAGGAAACAGTGAGGCTCAAAGAAGTTAATTTGTTTGCCCAGAATCACACAGCAAAAAAGTGGCAGAGTCTGAAATCAAACTCAGCTCTCCAGACTGGATATTTGGGACCCTGTGCATAAAACCACTATGGTCTAAAGGAGGCACCTAATAAACACTTATTGAAGGAAAAGTTTTAGAAAACTCCTACAATGAAAACTATCCCGAGGATAATGAAGACTTCCATTCAATTTCGCTCTGAGAGGAAAGCAGGAAATGAGCAACAGTGCAGATGGAGGTTGTAGTAGTATCCTCATACACACCTGATAGCTCAGAACTGCTAATCAAGCCATCTGCTGAGGAGACCTGCTCAGCACTGAGGATTTCCTCGTGTCCCTTAAAGTGGTCCCTCCTGAGCAACAAGGCTTCGCTGCGCGCCAGGATGGTGTAGCGAAGTCACTAATTCTCAATGAGACCTTGTATCTCGATACTACCAGATAACCGGTGGCGTGGAATGGAAGGTAAAGACACACGGCTCCTTATTTAAACGTGGGGCAACTATTCTTGAAAGGTGAACCCCCGCCCCCGAGGGAAGCGGCCTCCAAAAAAGGTGTGAGTCTATACTTCTCACCGGAGGAGTGAGGAAGCAACCACGAGGGGATTAAGAGACCCTACACACAACGCAGGCACCCCTGGCCCTGTGGGCCGGACAGCCCACAGCCCACAGCCTGCTGGCCAGACAGACTCCCTTCTCCAAACGCCACTGTGGCAGCCGCACTGTTTGGCCCATCCTAGTCATCTCCCAAACAAAAGAGGTTTTAGAGTAGCGATATCCCAAAATATAGACCAGGCATTAATAGGCGCCTGGAAGCACGCGTCTTACTCCCCACGATTTCTTAGCCCAACAGACCACCTGACTTTACACCAGGTTCTCCGCGTTGGGCGGCGGAGAGGACCTCTAAGGGCCAGATCCTGGCCCAGGGGCTCCTGCGACAGCGTGGACAGACAGCCTCCGCCACTGGGTCGACTCCGGTTCCCGCGACCCGCCAGCTGGCAGGCCCCGCCCCGCCCCCTACGCTCCGGCAGTTAGCCCGGCAACCCGCTCACAGGAGCGGCGGCCAGGACACAGTAGGCTTGTCCTGTGCTGGCCTCACGCTTCAGCGCCCCCGCCACGCCCCTCGACCCCTCACCGCCAATGGCCTGCTGCGCCGGCGCAGGATCCTCCAGGCCCAGCCCTCCCTCGACGACCGTGCGCTGAGCGCATGCGCCTTAAGAGGCCGGCCGGGTGAGGGCTTTCTAGCGAGAGAGGGGGAGACGGAAATGGAGGGGCTCCGCGCGCATGCCTTCGTCCCTGACACCGAGGCCGCTGGAGAGCGCGTTGGGCGGAGCCGGGGGCGGCGATCGCCGGGGAGATCAAGGCCCTGGGTCCTACCCCGAGCTGGAGCGGGGTCCCGGAGGCCCGCTAACCCGCCGGTGTTTGTGTGTATGTGCCCTCGCAGGGAGACATGGAGAACTGTTTGGCGGCCGCGGCGCTGAACGGGGTGGACCGACGTTCCCTGCAACGCTCGGCTAGGCTGGGTCAAGAAGTGCTGGAGCGGGCCAAAAGGAGGGCGGTGGACTGGCATTCGGTGGAGCTTCCCAAAGGCAGCGTGGGGGTCATTTCCCGGGAGAGGCCCTACAGAGAAAAAGGGCCGGCAGCCGGCCCCCATCGCCTTCTCCCAGGAGAGGTGAGGGCCCCAGTGCTGCGGGACCGGCCCATTCATTCGCTCAGCAGCGGCTTGCTGAGAACTAGGGCACGCCACACTGCAGCACCCGAGGGATCCTGTCCTTGGCGGAAGCTGTTAAGTATCAGGACAGTGAACCGGAAAGCCTTTTGAAAACTCTTGACATTTGACAGAGTCCTATTGGCTAGCTTTAGGATACCACTAGATACCGCTAGAGACTGCTAGTGCTCGGCCCTGGATGGTTACTTTTTACAACAATTCTTACAGGCTACCATTTGATATTAGAGGAAAGCCAACAAACCTGTCTTTGTCCTGGAAAAATTGCATGTCTGTGTATTCCTTTTAGAGTTGGAATTCTTTCTCAGTAAGAGCCTTTTACTGACTTAAACGTGCTGTGGCCTTTCAAAAAGTAAAAAGGAAGGTATTCCCAAAATGACTTCCTTCTCCAATAGGGAATACAGATCTCACCTGTGACTTGCCGTTTATTCAAATAGAGAGAAGAAAGACAGCGAACCCTCAGTGCTTCCTTCAGAACAATGGCTGAATTCATGGACTATACTTCAAGTCAGTGTGGGGTAAGTTGGTGTAAGCCAAAGTCATGCCCCTGATCTGCCTGCTGATGGATCACAAAGTGGATTTTTGTGGAATTTAGGGAGAATCTGGAGACTGCCTGTTCACCCTGCCCTGCCTTCGTGGGCAGGTTGTAATCAGCCAAGGGTTTAAACCAGGTGATAAATCGAGGTTAGAATTCATTCAACAAATATTGAATGCCTAACTTCAACTGTTATGAGGATACAGCAATGCACAAGCCAGAAAAGATCTGCCCTCACTATTGTTTGGGGGGGCGGGGCTTATTTGCTGAATTCCAAAACAAGTCCGAATATTAGCGGTATTTAAAACTGAACTGAAATTTTTTTTTTTAATCAGTAAGATCGTTCTAAACTGGAACCAAGCCTCTCTGTTTTCAAAGCAAAAACTGAAACAGAATCCCTCCATTAGATCTTAATCTCTGTTCCAAGTCCCTGGTAAAGTAGTGTGCTTTTGTGTGTGTGTGTGTGTGTGTGTGTGTGTGTGTGGGGCCACACAGCATTTGGGATCCTAGTTCCCCAACCAACTTGCACCCCCTGCATTGGAAGAACGGAGTCTTAACCACTGGCCACCAGGGAAGTCCCCCTGGTAATGTAGTTTTTAAGTATGCCCCTTTGGGTCCATATCACTTGTTGGCCACAGAGGTGGTTATGTGGCACAGATGCAGTGCCCTCATCAGAGATAGTGTGGCTTAATGGCAGGAGCAGCCTCCCAGGAATCAGACCTGTGTTCTGCCACTTCCTGGCTATAATGCCTTAGGCTAGTTAGTCTCTCTCAGCCTTACCTTCCCACATGGTAAAATGACGATGTTTCAAGTCCTTTCCAGCCCTTATAGTCTGTTTCTTTGGTTTCCACTGAGAGATGAACACCAGAAAATTGTCATAAACTGTAGCACAGGGTACTTATGTGAGATTTTTGGTCCCATTCATTGAAGTGGGTGAACAAAGGTTTTAAAGGCCCTCTTCTCAAAACCATACACTAAGGTCATCTTTAAGTACTTTGAGGGAATGTTGAAGGCAGGCAGCCAACATTCAAGAAAATCACCTGCATGGAAGGTACTCTCTGTCTTCTAGGAATTAAAACAGACTCTGTGGTCTCTTCCAGCCTTAACATTTTATGATTCTTATGTGTTTGTAAGGGTGCTTGGTCTGTACGGCAGAAGGAAGAGAATACCTTGTTTCTGTCCTGCTTTTCAATTTCATAATGAATATTAAGATTCAAAAAATCTCTAATATTTCTACATCTTTTATAAAATCCTTGTGACTCCAAAAATAGGATTCCAACCAGTGAGATACAGTTCAGAGAGTATTTTTATGTTATTATTTTGTTAAATGGTTTTAGAAAAATCCATAACTTTGGCTCTACTATAAAGTGATCAAGTTAAACACTTTGGTTCATGGTTCAGTAAAAGGAATAATATTTGTCTTTGGTTTGAGGTTTAGCAAATTGGTATTCTTCGTTTTGGTTTTCAGTTCATGCTTTAGTTCAAATCTCCATTAAGGAATGGAGGCTCAGAACCTCTCAGCTTTCTAGAAATAGAGTTAAGAACAGTGTTTGAGTTTGCTTTCAGAATTTTGAAGCATCCCCTAAATTACATCATTAGAGTCATGTCCTGACATGCTTTCCCCAGCTTCTCATGCTTTTGGTCTCTTGCCTTAAACATTGTCCCTACCCTTTGTTCAAAGCAAGCAGGCTTATGTTGTCCTCATCATTAGTCACAATCAGGGGCAAGTCTAAGGTTAACTTTGAGGAGGAGGAAGGAAGTAGACAAGAAAAAAACTGCATTCTGATCCTTTGGATTATTTTTGCTTAAATCGGAATCTTCTCCCTCCCCTCCTGCGCGTGGGGAGAACGGCTGCATAACTGTCGGGTTTATGTTACATTTCCTGTTGTATTTCTAAATCTCAAGGAGATGCACCTCTCTTCTCTTGTCCTTGTCTGAGACTTAGTAAACACAGACCTGTTTGTCAGAACTTGTCATGAGAGGAGATGAAAGGGCTTGTGTATTTGACCTCGGGGTGACGATGTTGTGAAAATTATTTAACCTGGCAGAGAGCATGGTCCTACCCAGCTTGAGTTGCCAGAGTTCTTGCCCTACAGAGGCGGCAGATGGCAGCAAAGTAAGGCCAAGTGCAGTTTCCTTCTCTGCAGCCACTTTACACGGGCTAAGATTTGTTATATGACTTCAGAGGCCTCTCAAGAGGGCAGGTAATTTACCTTTGCTCTCTTGCCTCCCTCCTTAACCATACTTTGCCCAAGTAACAAGGAGTTTTTTGAAAATTTGACCAGTCTATTTGGTTACCCAGCATCTTTCACATTACTTCTCTAGAAATATTATTCATCTGTGCCAGAGGAAGGAGGGGCAACCCACGTCTATCGTTATCACAGAGGGAAGTCGAAGCTTCACTTGTGCTCGGACACTGGGAATGGTCAGGTATGTGTCCTCAGCTGTGCTGTGCTGTGCCCTCAGCTTCCCAAGATAGGAGGCCTTACATCTTGGAGCTCCTGCTGGATTGTTATTATTGGATGCCTGGGTGACTCAGCATTACAGCGCTCAACAGAAATGTACCACCTCCCAGCCTTAGAGAACTTACAGCAATGAACATGAAATAGGAGTTTTTGTCCAAAATAAGATATTAATGCCACTGTCGGATCTTCAGTTGAACCTGCGGTCCTGGGCCAAGGGATTCTTGGACAGGCTTAACAAAAAGCGCTTCAAATATCCTCTTCTATATCTAGGGATATGAAAGAGATTTTTAATGATCACATATTTCACTCTAAGGTAGTGATAAGTATCATGTCTTTGGTAATTTTAAAAAAGGAAATGCAAGGAGGGGGTTTCTTTTAACAAAATGCTTTTCCTAAAGATAGCAATTACAAGCCTCTCACTGCAAATTACCTGGATTTTAGCACATGTCACTCTGGGAAGCCAAAGACTCTACTTGTTGGACTGATTCAACAGGAGTCCTTTGTTGTTGTTTCTGGGGAGAGTAGAGGCTTTTTTTTGCTTTTGTTTTTCTTTTTAAACTCCCCTGGTTGTACTCAAAGATAGCAAACTTAAGTTCAGAGTCTAATCCACAGGTTGGATTCCTGACTTCTCTGGCCTGTGGGTTTAGGGAAGGGACGGGAGAGTGGCCGCAGGGATGTGAGCCATCCTGTTTCCCTGGCCTGGGGTACAAGGTGTAGCACCAGAGCCTGGATCCTGGGCTTCCTCTTCTGCCCTGGCCTAGGCCCTCTTAAGAGTGCTGGACCCTAAGGGAGTTACATGTGGGCAAGAGTCATTCGTATCCCTCCCATCCCTTCCTATAAGACGTAAATTGGTGCCTCTAAGGGAAATTGACTTTCTCAGTTCAGCCTCTTCCCCTCTAGTACTCCCACTGCTGGGAGAACCTTGGAAGAGAATTCTGTTTTCTGAGAGCCTGTTAAATGTCAATCACTTTTGCACTTTATATCTTCCTTACAGTGTAGTATGCCGAAGCTATAGACTAGGAAACCAAGGCATAGAGAAATTAATCTGTCCGTCTCAGTAAATGACAGAGATAGGATTCAAACTCAGGTCTATCTGAGTCCAAAGCCCATGTAAGGATAAAAGGTAATCATGGTAAACATCTGACTAAAAATACTTTGCAGAATTCACTAAAAGCCTTAAGAACTTAGGTGACAACTCGGAAAACATTGACAGAACAATTGTTAGTTCCTAATTAAGTAGGAAAAGTTTTCTCTCTACCTTCCAGAAGTCAAAGTTTGGGCCCTAATCAATGTTTCTACCTCGCTCTTCAGAGAAAAGACACCCCCCTTGGTGTCGGAGGCATCCGTCAGACGTCAGAGTGTGCGCTAGAGGCATCCCAGCCTGTGAGTACAGAACTTCTAGGGTACTGGGCTCCACCACCACTGCAATTCCATGAACTGATCTGGTTACTATAGGGTTCTTTGTACTGGATCTATAGTATTTTTAAGTTGGGATATTTTTACCCTTGGGGACAGTGTACAACATTTTAGTTCAGTGTAAAATTATGTTTTCTTGGTATCCTTCCTTCACTTGAAATTTCAGGGATACTCTTTGTGCCTGAACTCATAGTTGCGGTTGGAAAGAATGCAAAGTATTCATATCTTCATTCCTACAGCTCAGCTGGGCTGGCACTGGGTCCTGTTGGAATTCCACCATCTGTTCAAGCAGCAGGAGGGGCCTGACCCTCCTGCTTACAAAGTGAAAACCATTGCTGAAATTCTGAAACGTATACATTTGGTTAGATCAGGTTCCAAAATATTTGAAGGAATTTGTTCCTATTTTCTGCAAATGTTTCTCTGTGAAAACATACAGTGATGTTTTTAGGATAAAATATTCATTAGTTCATGAACCCAGGGAATCTTTTGGAACTTGGAAGGGCTGGAATTCTGAGGAATGGAACTCTGGTGTGTTGCTGCAATAGTTTGCTTAATTTTGTTTATATACAGTGTGCTACTAGCCAGGATTCAGAATATACTAGAGTTAGTAGCAACTAAGACTATTCTGCTTTTAGTACAAATTATTAGGCTTAGATGCCTCCAATACTTACTGTATTTTGGTAATGCTAATCTTCCTGATGTTCACAGTGTTGGATGCCAATCTTGCACCTTTTATGCAGACAAATGAAGCATCCTTGGCTTTCTGCAATTCTGATATAGCTGTATTTTCTGAAACCTTTTGTTTATTTTCATAGTTGATGACTAATAAATAGTTGTGGCGTTGTCATACACATTCACGTCAGTTAAATGATAATAAGCCTCCAATTTTGCAGTAACTGGGCATGAAAGGATATAGCATAAAGCAGCTTCGGAAAACCTTGGCTTCAAATCTATTTGCAAGATGGAAAGAGAGGAAGTTTCATAAAAGTATAAATATTATCATTTATTCCTCCTAGAAGATTTTACTGGCAGTAGTTTGGTCCACCTGCCCCCCACCCCCAGGGGTGGTGTAGAAATGACAGCTTCTGCCTGTGGCTCCTTCTGAGCATTGAGTAAGCATTGGTAGTGGTCTCCCAGTTGTGGGATAGGCGCTTTGGCTCTTAATTACAGGCTCTTTTCTGGTTTGTGACTTTGCTCTTTGGCCATTTGAGCTGAGACCCTTCCTCTGCCTGCATATCTGCCATGACCACTTCCCAGCCGGCATGAAGTCTGTCCTTGGAGAATGGCTTGTGCTCAGCTTAGCTCTAAACATAAATCTTTCCACTAACTCCAGCTTCCAGTGTTTTGCAGTATCGATCTTTGACTTACGTCCTGATAAACCCATTGTAAATTGAAAATATCATAAATTGAAAGTGCATTTATTTTTTTATTTTTATTTGTAAATTTTTATTTATTTATTTGTGGCTGCGTTGGATCTTCGTTGCTGCACGCGGCCTTTCTCTAGTTGTGGCGAGCAGGGGCTACTCTTTGTTGCGGTGCATGGGCTTCTTATTGTGGTGGCTTCTCTTGTTGCAGAGCACAGGTTCTAGGCACACAGGCTCAGTAGTTGTGGCTCGCGGGCTCTAGAGCGCAGGCTCAGTAGTTGTGGTGCACAGGCTTAGTTGCTCCGTGGCATGTGGGATCTTCCTGGACCAGGGATCGAACCCGTGTCCCCTGCACTGGCAGGCGGATTCTTAACCATTGCACCACCAGGGAAGTCCAAAAGTGCATTTAATACACCTAACCTACTGAACGTCATAGCTTAGCCTAGCCTACCTTAAACATGCTCAGAACACTTACATACCCTGCAGTTGGGCAAAATCATCTGACACAAAACCTACTTTATAAAAAAGTTTTGAATAGTTCATGTATTGATAATTTATTGAATGCTGTACTGAAAGTGAAAAACAGACTGGTTGTATGGTTATAAGTGTATCAGTTGTTTACCTTCGTGATCCTCGTGGCTGACTGGGAGATCGCTCACTGCCGCTGCCCAGCATCACGAGAGAGTATCGTGCTGCACATCGCCAGCCCGGGAGAAGATCAGCATTCAGAATTGGAAGTAACGGTTTCTACTGAATGCGTATCGCTTTCACACTATCGTAAAATCTGAAAACCATAAGTCTGACCATTATAAGTCGGGGACCATCTGCATAGGAGAACCGGTCTCCAAGGGAGGGCTTTAGCCAGCCAGCTGACTTTCTGCATGACAAAGTGGAATCTACGCATAGTGTTCTCAGCTTTAGGTGAAAAGAAATGTTTCATCCTCCTAATAATGAACTTAGCAAAGCACCGTTAAAAAGAATACTTCTTATTATCCCACAGTGCCTTGCCATTACTGCTGATCTGTGATAACAAGTGCCACTGCCTACTTTTGAGCCCCAAAGCAATCGTCATTAGCCTTTCCCTCTACCTGATTCTTAACCTTTCTACTCTAACCAGAGTGTTCCTTTTATGATCCTTCATGTTCCTATAACAATTTAGTGTTTTCACATACATGCTTATTTGTGAGCTAATTTTAGAAATAAGGAAACAAGCATAAGGAGAGGCCGAGACTGGCCTAAATCGCAGTCCTATTACGTTGCCAAGCCAAGCCTTGAAAGCAGGACCTCCATCTCCCACGTTAGTACCTCACTCCATCACACACAGAGGGAGCCGGGTGGAGGTGCCCTGACGGCACTGGTACATAAAATCTCTAAACTGCTAATATCCACTTTTCCTTCCAGGCTGAGAACATCTCTAAGGACCTCTACATAGAAGTATATCCAGGGACCTATTCCATCACTGTGGGTGTAAATGACTTGACCAAGAAGACTTATGTGGTAGCAGTTGATTCAGGACAAAGTGTGGACTTGGTCTTCCCCATATGATGTTGACCATCACAGACATCACCTTTTTCTTGTTTGTTTTTTAAGTATCAAGAAGAATAAAGCTACCATATGTCCCCTTAAAATTTACACATTAATCCTGCTTTTAATGCTAACTGACTGTAGAGGGTCAGCCTTCCCAGGAACTGGAGTTTGTCTCTTTCAGTGCCTATTTTAACTTGAAAGTCCCCTCACCCTCTTCTGCCTGAAGTAATAATGTAATGATGCTGTCTGAGTAGTTTTGACTGCTTACTTTCCAAGTAAAGATTAATTATGATAATAAAATGAGAAATTTGGAAATGAAGAGAATTCCTTTTTATTGTCATTAAGACGTCACACAAAATGTTGCTCTTGTACAACTGAGGCTTTATGAAAAGATGGCAGAGAGGCTGTGGACACATTTGCCCAAAGCAGGCCAACCATATTCTGTAGCTTCTGTGGAAGAGGCATCCTCAAGCAGATCGCAGCAGGCGCCTGGAAGGGAGCCCTCGCCAGGGCCGCCACACTCCTGTGCCCCTTAGGACAGGTGCCTTCCTGCCACTCATCTGCAGGGATGTCTTCCTGGGGTGAAGATGCTGCTGCTTACTGGACTATCACCTGTGGCCTGCACTGTACCATTTCCATAGAAGAAGGCCGTGTGTCAGCCACTTTGTAACTAACTCCTCCTCAGGTATCTACTCTTTAGCTTCCTACAAGAGAAAAAAAAATCCTGAGAGTCTTATTCTGACTTTAAAATCAGTGACTTTCGATCCTTAAAATTACAAAGTCATTGATGTGTCCCAGATATCTTTAAGCTACCACACCAACAGTATTGTTGCATCTCTCAGTTTAGTTGCCTAGGGAGTCACCTCATTTTGAACATGTCTTTCCTCAGAAAAAAGGCCAGTATTTTATATGATGAAAACAAAGGTTTGGGGACCTCACTGGCAGTCCAGGGACCTCCCTGGCAGTCCTCCCTGGAAGGTGAAGACTTCACCTTCCAATGCAGGGGGTGTGGGTTCTATCCCTGGTCGGGGAGCTACGTTCCCACATGCCTTACAGCCAAAGCACCAAAAAAACCTAAAACAGAAGCAATATTGCAAAAAATTCAATAAAAGACTTTAAAAATGGTACACATCAAAAAATATATGTATCTGGGCTTCCCTGGTGGCGCAGTGCTTGAGAGTCCGCCTGCCGATGCAGGAGACGCGGGTTCGTGCCCCGTTTCGGGAAGATCCCACATGCCGCGGAGCGGCTGGGCCCGTGAGCCATGGCCACTGAGCCTGCGCGTCCGGAGCCTGTGCTCCGCAAATGGGAGAGGCCACGACAGTGAGAGGCCCGCATAACGCAAGGAAAAAAAAAAAAAAAAAATATATGTATCTAAAAAAAGAAAAAGAATACAAAGGTTTAAGTAGAGCTGTATTCGCATTCCTAGCAAAGAACAGACTCTCACGGACCGAGGGCCTAGTAAAGCAGGCCCATGCCCACCACCATAGGGTAGAGGGGTCAGTTAACTGGGGATCCTTGCACCCCTAGTGATGAAATTCGTGGGTTCTGTAAGCCTTCTGAAATCATATGCAAAATTGTGGGTGTGTGCATTTTTCTGGGAAGAGGGGCCATCGGTTTTATCATTCTCAAAAGTGGTATGGCCCCAGAAGGTCAAAGAACCATGGAAGGAGTCCTTCAGAAGCCCCTTCCCAGCCATCTGCTTTACCTAGATCCTTGGGGCTTTTCGTTTAGGGGGAATTCTGGTCTCCTGATGTGCCGCAGTACCCCGACTCAGTTTTTTGTGTTCAGCTTCCTCTGGCAGGATCTGTAGTGGCTTCATGCCAGTGGCTTCCAGGACCAGCTCCCTGGGACTCCCCGCTGCTGTAGTTTTCACTGTCTGTTGTTTGTTGCCCTTCTCTTCTTTCCCGATGTTGCTAAGTCTTGTTCCTAAACCCAAAATTCAGTTAGTTGAATATGCCACCATTTTGATGGGATTAGACTTGACTTATGTAGAAGTGTATCAAGGATCACAGAATCCCTTAACTGTCTGAACGCTGTTTCAGTCACAAGCGAGGGTGGAGAGCGGCATGACTGCTGGCATGAATCCTGGCCCTCTAGGATTGTTAGGTTAGTCTCAGACAGTAACCTCACTGCCTTCAACTAAAAGGAGCCAAAAGCGTGGAGGGCGGAGGACCCATACAAGAGGATCCTTAAGAGGTAGAGCCTCAGACCAGATTGTGAAGCATCAGTGCTTGATGGCAATCAAGCGCAGTTAGGAGAAGCAAAGCAGCACATTTCCTTAAAAGGATACAAGATCTGGAGGGGAGAGAAGAAAAACTCTGGTATTTGCCGTTGTTTCTAGCCCAGGCACACACGTCGTTTTACAAGCTTCCCCTCACCAGTTCACCTCGCTAGTTAGTGTGGTGTGCAGCACTCTATCTGGGATGGGGGCTGGAGATGCCCCTTTCTCCACGCCCCATGCAGGCATACTCTCCATAGCTTTGGGTGCAGAGATAGGACCTGGCAGAAGGCAGGCTCACTGATTCTCATGGTTCAGCTCCAAGAATTAACCTTTGCCCAGAGCATAACAAATGATCCAGTACCTAGAGGAAAGCCAGGCCAAGTACCTGAAGATACTATATGTCTCGTTATAGCCAATTATTAGAATGTATTTGGGTGTGGGGGGAACTTTAGAGTGGATCTGTTTAAATATGGTGATGAGGGGAGAGAGGCTGAATGTAGGTGTGGGTGCATGGGTAGTGGCGATAAGAGCGGTGTATGCTTGGGGCCAGGGAAGATTTGTTTGGCCTCAGTCAGGTTTAGAACCAGTCTGGTTAGAACGCCATGGAGCAGGCCACAGTCATGGGAATGCAGGCCTGGAGGCTGGGGCAGGTCTGACCGCCATGGCTTCTGGTTACCCCACTGGCATTCCTCTCCCTGAGACTGGGTCTCATGCCACCTCAGCTGCTGCCCCAGAGACTCCTCCCTGTTGGAGAGATACAGCTTTTCTTTCTCCAGTCTGTGCTGAAGCAGGAGGGCAGTGGAAGCTATGGAGAATTTAGCTTAAAAACTCTAGACTTTGGCACCATTTTCTTTATATTATCACTTGTTGGAGGGCATACCCTGTAGAAACAGCTGCTTCCAAACAGCTTCTGCCAAGGCCTTTCACTGCAAGGAAAGAGGCCCAGGAACACCTATCCCTGCTCCCACCTTTATATTTTCAATTCAAAGTATCCTCTCAGGGAGGGGAGGAAGAGCCCAGCTGGTCATAGCTATAGATTCTCGTCCCTCTACTTATTTCCCTCTCAGAGGTGGGGGAAAGATCGCACACCTCGAAAGCCAAGGAAGGAACCTCATCTAAAATACAACAGCGGCCAACACATCCATCCCTGCCCACTCTGAAGCCCAGGGGTCCAGAGGAGTCCCCCAAGAAAGTTTCTCAGTGTAGAAACAATTTCTCAGCCTCCTGGAACTGAAGACTAATAAAGACCTTACTCCTGGTGTAAGATTAAAATCCTCGTGGGCTGAGAGGTCCTTCTGGTTGAGCAGCTGTCCTGAAAATAGGGCAATGGCTTCCAAAGGGGACCCACAATGAGTCCCAGTGTGGGCAGTGCCTACAGATCCTTATGCCCTTAGCGGTGGTATTCTTTAGCCCTCAGTATCCCTGCCCCAGAGTGGATGTTCATTTTGTTCACTGAAGGTTGAATTAGTCAGCACAGGGCCCCAAGAATCTAGTCTAGGCCTGGCTTATCCAAGTCACCTCCTTCACAAAGCTCTGCCAGCTGCCTTAGGCGTCTGCTCTTTCTGGGCCCCACCGGAAATTTAGATAGCACGGCATGAAGCATATCAATGATACACTGCTCTAAACCTACACGGGCATGTTGCTTGGGTAGAGAAGTTTGGGGATGGCTGCAGGTTGCCAATGACAATGACACTGCCTCCCCTCTCAGTGGTAGAGTGAGACGCATAAGGCTGTGCCTGGTTCCTCCCGCTCTGACTTCCTAAGGGGACCATCTGGAGAGTAGGGTCTGATGGCCAGTGTTTAAAGACCTGTTTCTGTGCTTCTCAGGGTGCTGAAAGACTCCAGTCAACACCTGGAGGCATTCTGACTGTACATCTAGAGAAAAATCAACGCCTCCAAGGAAAACGAGGGAGGGCAGGATAGAAATGGACAGTGGCAGAGTCCTGCCAGTAGAGACCAGTGAAGAAAGAAAAGACAGTTGTCAAATAGGGATGCAAACCTTAGCACAAAGATCAGCCCATCCTTTCTTGTTAGGTTTCCATTTAATCAATAAAGCCCACGTTTCCCTCTTATCACAGCCCCTCCTTTGACATGACCAAGTGTTACTTCCAATCCCAGCACAGCGGACATGTGCGTCAGATTCCTGAGAGACACATGGGAGGGAAGGGAGCAGGGGCCTCAGCCCTGCCTTAGGAAAAGGTCTACCTGGCTTCCTGGGATGCGGCTTGGACCCGTTTCTCCTCCAGTACCTCCATTCCGGCTGGCAGAGGCCACCCTGCCTCCCTGGAGACTCCTCAAGAAGGGCGGGGGCCGTGTTGGCTGTGCTGTCCACCGCCGGCCTCTGGGGAAGGCCCAGCTCCAGCTCATTCTCCAGATCCTCCTCTGCAGAGGAAGAGGAGGCAGAGGAGGATGAAACAGCCATGGAGCCTGCACTACAACTTCTGCCCCCTTAGGACCCTCAAGGGGCAAAAGCTGTGCCGTGGGCTTCAGCTCCGCCTCTGGATGCTCTCTGGCTGTGACCCCTGAAGTTCTGGTTAGAGGCCACCAGGTGGGTCCCGCCAAGGGGCGGCAGCAGAGGCAGCCCTGGCCCAGCAGCTGGCAGCAGGTATGTGGGTGGCAGGGAGGGCACAGGAATGGAGTGCTCAGAGGAAGCCCGCCGGTGACACATCCAGCGACCGGCCCCGCCAGAGAGCAGCAAGGGGCCCAGAGGAGGGGCCTTGGGTGCTCCGTGGTGAAAGCCTTGTGCAGCCTGTCCACAGCCTTCTTCCAGACAGCTGGGGGCACCCACCTGACCCCTCCAAGAGGCACATGAGCTGTCCTGCCATTCCAGAAGCGAACGGTAATTTCTTCTTCTTTGGATGCTACATAACAGAAAAGGTCACCATTTTGTTACAGCCGCCTCTTTCATATCATGGGATAAGGGTTCTCCTCTCCCCAGAAGCAAAGCCTCATCACAGCCCCTCTGCTCTGCTTCTGCCCGTGTGCACCTCTCCCTGGAGAGCCTGCCAGGGACATTCCTCACCTGCCCCATGTTTACCACCCCTTCCTGTGCCGCCATGTCTTGGTTTTCACATCAAAACCAAGATGCATCCGCAGGTGGGGGAAGGGAAGGAGAAACCTCCTTCTGTCGCTTCTCTGAACACAACGATGCTGACTGGCTGGCCTTGCACAAGGGGACTGTCCCAGTCCCTGGACGACTTGGTGGGGGACCAGTCATGAGTACTGGTGTGACCCCAGGATAACCTCACCACACCATAGGTTAAGTAACCAACATAGACATAGTAGCCTTGGGCTATTTTGCCCTGATAAAGAATATTTTATAATCTGAAAAATATGATTTGTCTATCTGTGGCCACCCTCAGGACGAAGCTGCAAGTGAAAGGGTAAGGATTTTTTAAGCCTCTAAGACCCCTAAGCTGGAGAGACACCCTTTGCTCTCTCCTCAGCCTGATCACCAGCCTGGCTCCTGGGGACTGGGAGGCCAGAGCGCTCCCTTACCTCTCTGGGGGTCTCTTGCCTCCAAGCCCAAAGGAATGGTTCCGGGGCCATAGCGCTGTTGGTGTGGTCCCCAGAGTGCCAGCACCTTGTCCCCAAGTCGCAGTGAGTATTCCACGGATGGCGAGAACTGAATGACATCTTCCTCCAAGGCCATGCTCTACCGCTGGGCTGGCAGCCCTGGGCATGTGACAAGAGGAGCCTCAAATTCCACCAGCAGGAACCCCTGCCTCTCCAGCTGTGGGAAAGAAAACACTCAGAATAAGACCTGGCAGTAGGAAATGCTACAGGGAGCACCATGGTTCCCTACAACGCCTAGGGTCAGACCCAGGGTCTCCCTCGCATGCGGCAAGGCCCAGTTAGGGAAAGGGCAGGGCCAGGCGCTGCTTGGGAGCCCACTATGGCAGAGACAGGCCGGCTGTGAGGCGG